TAATCTATAATGTTGGCTATTTGCATTCCGGGGCTTGGGGGTTTGCGCGACACTCCCAGAATTGGGCTCAAATGATTTTCTGGCCCAGACTTTTTTTTTTTTTGATGGAGCCCAGGCATTGATTAGTTCCCTGCAGTTTGTACTTTATAATTTAATTTATGAATTATAATATCATATAAAATTATAATTTTATAATTATAATTGATATAAAATAAATAAATATAATATTATGAGTATATTTTTAATAAAAATAATTAATTATATAATAACAAATCATATTATATACTTACAATATCATGTAATATTGTAATTATAGTATTTTTGTTTAATTTATTGATTTACTATTTGATCTTGAGTCTTTCTACCATTAATTTATACAGAAAATTACAAAAAAAAATTATTTTCAACACTAATATCATAAAAAATAATTTAACTAAACAATTGATAAAAGTTAAATTACTTTTATTTTTTTCATATAAATTAATAACAAAAAGATACATTAATTACACCTTTAATTATAGCACAAGATAAAAAAATTCCTTTAATTATTACTAGCCCTTGCTTTTGCTAGCATGGTAAGGTCATCTAGTAGGATGCACAGTATTGACCCTTTTTTTAATAAGTTTATATCATAGTTTTCTTTTAGTGATATATATATATTATACTTGTATAAAATTTTAAAATTTTATCTTTTTACCTTTAATTATTGAAATTTATTTACTTTCTATTATATTTATTAAATATAATTATCTTGTTAATCTAAAAAGTCGTGATAACTCTTAACTTTTGTAAATAAAAAGATAACTAATTAAAATTTTATATAAGTATGATATATAAAATTTATATGTAAATAGATTTTTACTTTATATATATCATAGTTCTATCAGTAAAATATTTTTATTCAATAAGAAAAATTGAAATTATCAATTTAGATATAAACTTTATTATATGTAGATTATATTTTATAAATTTTAATTTTTTAAATAAATTCTTATATTTAAATATAATAATAGTTACTAAATATATAAAAAATAAAAAGCCATACTAATCAAAATGAGTTTTTTTGTTTTAATCAAAAGTAATCAAATTTATTAATAATAAGGACCATGATTGGTGCACACCGAGATCCAACACCCGGGTGTGCACCTTCCACATAAAAAAAAAAAATGGATCAGGTGTTCTTCATTTTTTTTTTTTATGCAGAGTGTGCACACATTATTTTCCTAATAATAATGAAAGATATTGCATCAGTACAATTCCTATGAATATGAAACTATACTTATAGTGTGAATAAAGATGATTTTTCCTTTAATATATATGAGATATGTGTTGGTTAGACCTACCCTTCTATGTGGTGACATGGCCAAATACTTGTTGAACTAAATCCACACTCATTAAGCCTACTTCAAGCCATATTCTTCAATATTTTGTAAATTTGGTACTGTATATAGTTTGCAACTTTGTCTGATCCACAAAAGTTTATCATTGGATTGAGTTAAAATTTTGTCTAGGTATTCATGAAACATTGATCTACATTTGAAGTTTAGTAAGTTCTAATTTTATACTCAAAATAATAGCTTGTTTTTTGTAATTGTCTTTCTTTGTAATTTCTTTTTTTTTTTTTTGTCTACTTGTGATATGTTATTACTCTCGTTTGGTATTATTTTTGTGCCTTTTTAGAAAAAAATATTGTGTACTATTTTTTTATTATAATAAAGCTATTTTCAAAGGACTAGACATCCAGTGGTTTTTATTTATTTTTAGAGTTTTTCACGTCAAAATATTATCTCTTATGGTGATTATTTTATCTTAACCATATTTACTGTTTTACATATTTTAGTTGCTGTTATTATTTTTCATGGACTTAATTTAACTTGCTCCTAACAGTTTTAAATAGATTATGGTAGATTTTGCTGTTATTTTTATTTCCACTATACTTAGGTGACACCTTGTTTTTTCCAACCATAAAGACAATTAAATACTTGAAATATAGACAATTAAACAATATAGACAATATAGACAATCATTAATTACTTGAAATTACCAATAATAATTCACTATAAATGAGCAAACAGGTACGAGAGAAACCACCTTATTATACCTATGAAGTATCCAAGAAGTCCAATCTGAATATTTCAATTTTTAGGGTAGAAATTAATATTAACCCCACCTCCGTCCAACGGCATGCATGTTATTGACATCCTAAGCAAATATTACATCCAGCCTTGTTCATCCACCTACGTCCATGCTGCCTTCTTATTTACAAAGTCAAAATCTGATAAAAATCTGATAAAAATCATTAAGAGAACCTATGAAAAAAACTCCTCAGCAAATGAGAATAATCCCGCATTTATCCACCCATCCTAACTAGAGAGAGAGAATTTAAGACTTTTATAAATATAAACAGTGTTTGGTTGTTTGTTCGCTTGTTTTATTTATTTATTATTATTTTTTTTTTTTTGCGCAAAAGTTGGTGAGACATTGAATGACTCATTATTATGTGTTGACACTATATTATAATTAAAAAGATTAATTTAATAATTGTATGAATCTTAATATATTTAAATCACTTTTTCTTTGTATTTCATCATCGATATGGGATTTTTATTTTTCATAAAACTAATAAGGGAAACATATTTCAACGGTTAAAATCAATTTTTAGCCCTTTACCTTATAAAATTAGTATATTTTAATCCCTAACTTTATAATATGATACTTTTAGCCTTTTACCTTACAAATTGATAGGTTTTAACTCATTACTTTATATTGTGACACTTTTAACTCTTTATCTATACAAATTAAAAAAAAATAACTCTTATTTAATATCAAATTATAATATTCTGTTATTTCTGTTAGCTGATTGTTAGTATCTGTTAGTATTCCGTTAATGGAACTAATATATAAAATTGAATTTAAATTTTATGTGTTTCTATAATAGAATGCTAACAGATGTTGACAATCAACTAACAAAACTAACAGAATGTTATAACTTGATATTAGGTGAATGCTATTTTCTTCAAGTTGTATAGGTGAGGGGTTAAAAATGTCATAATATAATGTGAGGAATTAAAACCTACCAATTTTGTAAGGTGAGGAGCTAAAACCTATCAATTTTGAAAAGTAAAAGGCCTAAAGTGTCATGTTATAAAATGAGAAGCTAAAATCTACCAATTTTGTAAGGTGAGAGGCTCAATGTTGATTTTTGCCTATTTCAACGGGTAGATGTTGGACGCCATGTTGGACGCCATATTGTCTGAGCAAGCATTGGCCTCCCTATGACAGTGACTCACATTGCATTGTAAATAACGTTTTTTGGGCACTCAATTTTTTTAAAATAATAATAATAACAATAATATTACTAATAATAAATAATACATTCCTTGTAAGATGACAGAAAAATGATATGTGCTTCTAAAATAGCATCATTCGGATTAAATAACGAAAAAAATGTAGGGTGATCTGAAATGTATTAAATTATATTATATTAATCATTGAACGGTTGGGGATTAAATCTTCTAATATTGGGGTTCTTCCTCTATCTAATAGTTTTTTTTATATAATACAATGCAATCTAAACTATAAAATAAGATTGTTATTATAGGACTACTAAAACTTTAAAAGTGAAAATTGCTCAATTAACATTATTCTGAATTGTTGATTTCTTTATTATTATGCCCTCTAATTTTTTTTTAATTGTCATGTTCCTTCAACTTTATATAAATTAATTTCATAATTTTATATAATAAATAAATGGCAATTAAAAAATGTTTTGATTAAAGTAAAAATATATACTCAACAAAAAATATACAAAGAAATTAAGAAAAAAAATTTCAATTGTCATATATTTATTATACAAAATTATTTGATCAAATTTTATATTAAATATCAAACCATGACAACCAAATCAGATTGAAAAAAGTATTATTTTTTGAGTTTGTTGTTTAATTGTCTAAATTATTTAATTACAAAACACCAACTATTAAATGAAGGGGTAGGTCCTGACTCATTATAAATGAATCATTCATTATCTAATAATTTATATTTTACAATTTAGTACAATATAAATCGTAACACGTTTCTTTTTTTTTCTTTTATGAAAGTATTTTTAACAACTTAGCAAAGGTGTGTGCACGTTTTGTGTGATGATGTAGGCAGTTTCTCTGGATTTCTATAATGTTGATATTAGAATAGCTTTTTTTTATCGGCCAAAAAAAAAAAAAAGTAGATGTTGATATTGATTTATTTTCATTAATTTTCCCTACACAATTGGTAAAAAAATCAGAACCATTGGATGCAACTACCTTGCGGTCCAACTGCACCTAAACACTGCCCATTGACGTGGTAGGTAGGAAGATACAAAACCCCACAAAAAGCATATAGCTAAGGGGATCTAAATTGTAATTGAAGAAGGGAGGTTAGATTAGATTGGTAAGTAGAACCATGCCAACGCACCAAACTCATCTCACGTGCCACCTCAGCTTCTTAACTCTTAGAGCATTAGTCAAGCACGTGACTCCTAGCTACCCGTTCCACCTCTTCCTTTTATATAGGACCAATCCTGTGTCTAACAAAATCGTCCAGCATTTATCCCATTCACCTCTCTGCCACCGCCAGCGGCTCACGGTTCTTTTCCTAGAAAAAAAAAAAAGACAACATGGTGACCGTTGAGGAAGTCCGCAAGGCTCAACGTGCCGAGGGCCCTGCCACCGTCCTGGCCATCGGGACGGCTGTTCCTGCTAACTGTGTTGATCAGAGTACGTACCCAGATTATTATTTTCGCATCACCAACAGCGAGCACAAGAGTGAGCTGAAAGAGAAATTCCAGCGCATGTGTAAGTTTTTTTTGTCTTTAATTCCTCTGTTTTCCTTTCATTTTCTTTATTTTGGTCTTACGTTTTGGTTAAGTATATATTAACTCTTCGGTACATAATTTTTTTTTTTTTTTTTGGTTTTTTATCATTGCTATTGTGTTTATTAGATTAAGAAAAACAAAGAAAAAACTGGGTTTGTTAAGTTAGAGTTTGAGGAAGGATTGGAAAATTGCTCATCATGTTTTTTATATGCATGCAAGAAGATCGATAGCGTATTAGTTTAGATTAGGATGATCCTTTCAAAGATATCTAGTATTTCCTGCTGTTTATGAACCCATTGAAGTTTCTTTCTTGTTCCTTCTGTTTTCTTTTTGGTAAAATTTTGTGAGAAAAAACGGTGTATATGTTACTTTTAGGAAACAACAAACGGTCTGATTATTAGTGATGAAAAGATTTTAACTGTTTCACAAAGCATTAGGGAAAAAGCGCTTATAGAAACATTAAATTTTTATTGCCACAAAAACTACCAATAAAATAATAATAATATAGTATAAAATTGTAAGTTTATATAATATTATGGATGAATTTACAGATTAAAAGTGTTAATTAACATATTATAATTATAAAAAGAAGGTTTATCGATTTAATGATTCAACAATTTAATGTAAGTTTTCTTCATCCTTCCTCCTAACTATTTTTCCTAATAAAAAATATAATATATTATAATTATAAATTTATATTGAGATATGTCATTTTATTTTTGCCAAAAAAAGAGGCGGCCTTGTTTGTACGGTCCTACTTCCCTTGGACGTTTAGGTGGGGACAGCTTGAATCTGACTACTGTCTAACTTTCTATACGCTAACTAACTATTGGGTTTATTGCTGATCACCATTATTTCAAACAATTGATTAAAAGACAGACGTGCTGTGATTTTCAAAGCCTAAATTGCTGTCCTAATCAAGTAATTTGCCCTTCTGTTTTGGTAATGTTATTAACATTAATCCATGCATGTTTCGTAATTTCAGGTGACAAATCTATGATCAAGAAGCGTTACATGCACCTAACGGAAGATATTCTTAAAGAGAATCCTAACATTTGTGCATACATGGCACCTTCATTGGATGCGAGGCAGGACATTGTGGTGGTAGAGATACCAAAGTTGGGCAAGGAAGCAGCCGTCAAAGCCATCAAGGAATGGGGCCAGCCCAAATCCAAGATAACCCACCTTGTCTTTTGCACTACTAGTGGCGTGGACATGCCTGGGGCCGATTACCAACTCACCAAGTTATTGGGTCTCCGCCCCTCTGTCAAGCGCTTCATGATGTACCAGCAAGGTTGCTTTGCTGGTGGCACCGTCCTTCGTATGGCCAAGGACTTGGCTGAGAACAACAAGGGAGCTCGTGTTCTTGTTGTTTGCTCTGAAATCACTGCCGTCACATTCCGGGGGCCTAGCGATACCCACCTTGATAGTCTTGTAGGTCAGGCCTTGTTTGGTGATGGTGCAGCTGCTATCATTGTGGGCTCAGACCCAGTGCCTGAAATTGAGAAGCCCTTGTTTAAGATAGTCTCTGCAGCTCAAACTATCCTGCCCGACAGTGATGGGGCCATTGATGGGCATCTTCGTGAAGTTGGGCTGACATTCCATCTCCTCAAGGATGTTCCTGGACTCATCTCCAAGAACATTGAGAAAAGCTTAGTTGAGGCATTCCAACCTTTGGGGATCTCTGACTGGAACTCACTCTTTTGGATTGCTCATCCTGGTGGGCCAGCTATATTGGACCAAGTAGAGGCGAAGCTGGCCCTCAAGCCGGAAAAATTAAGGGCCACAAGGCACGTTCTGTCGGAATTTGGAAACATGTCTAGTGCATGTGTGCTGTTCATTTTGGATGAAATGAGGAGGAAGTCAAAAGAGGATGGGCTCGAGAGCACAGGTGAAGGACTTGATTGGGGCGTACTCTTTGGGTTCGGACCAGGGCTCACAGTTGAGACAGTGGTCCTCCACAGCGAGGTTGCTTAGAAGCCCTAAATTGTGCCTTTAAATTCCGCTTGTACTTGGTTTCGCTTTTTTTTATTTGCTTTGGAGACTCTCTCCTTTGAAATTGTAATGGACAAGGTTGGTTGTGTTGTTTGGGTTTAACTCTGTGGTTTATAGTTA